AATTTGAACTTTTCAAAGTACTTGAGTTTTAGATTTTAAAAACTTCAAATTAAGACTTTTAATTAAATTTTAAAATCCAAAACTTGAGGGCAAGTTTTGAAACTTTTTCAAACTTAGGGTTTAGAATTTAAAATTTTCAACATTAAACTTTTAATCAAAATTTTAAATTCCAAAACTTGAGGGCAAGTTTTGAAACTTTTCAAAACATTAGGGTTTAACTATTTAAATTTCAAAAACAAAACTTTTAAGTTCAAATTTAAACTATAAAACCTAAAGGGAGTAATTTGAAACTATTCAAACTTACTAGGTCAAATATATATCTAATAATAATCCTATAATATCCATATTTAACCAAATCCATTAATTTTGACAAGGATAAACATTCCAAACATAAAAAATCGATTTTAGGCAATAAAAACGAGTTATGACAATTATCCTTAGCAAAATCTGCTAAAAAATTCGAAAAATCCGGCAACAGACTCGAAAACTCGTCGAGTTGAGTATAGAACTCGTCGAGTTCATTACCAACTCGTCGAGTTCCTGCTCCAGAGAGCAAAAACTTTCGAATTTTTGATTTTTGGCAGTTCAATTATGCTTCTATTCAATAGAAAAACGACCTAGGCTCTGATACTACTGATGGGTTTAGAGCATAACAACATTCCTATGGTGTTCATGCAACCCTAATTGCTTGGATCTAGTTTTTCTACTTTGAACATGCAATAAACCTCCAAGACTTATAAACCCTAGATCTAGCATACAATTAATCAATTAAACATGTAAACTAGGGTTTGGATCTTACCTTGATTGTTATGTAGCAATAACAATCAATTCCTTGGCTTCAGAAAGCTTAGTGCCTCAAGTGTTGCACCTCTAATGGAGTCACAAACACCACTAAGCAATTGGATGAAGAGGAGAAGAGAAGTGGCTGCCCAAAATCGTCCAGAAACCCTAAGGGAATCATTCCCAATGTTTTTGGGGCTTAGGGGCTACTTAAATAGGTAGGCAATTAGGGTTATCTAACAAGGAAACCCTAATTTGACTGCTTAAGCCCTAAGCAGCCCATGGACCCCTTTTGGAACATGCCTTGGACGATTTCTAATGGGCTTCCCCATAGAATTCGTCCAACCTATTATTCCAAGGTGATTTCATAACCCAATTGCAATTATCCTATAATTACAATTCCAGTCCCCTAAGTTTAATTAATCTCTTTTAGCCACATAATTAATTCTTTATTAATTCTTGACTAATATTAATTAACCAATATGATTTCTCCTTTAATATATTATTCTTATAATATATTAATAAATCATAATTAAACCTTTCTCTCCTTAATTCATCCTACATATTGCTATGGTGAAGGCAACCCAAAAGGACCATGCTCATAATCGGGTCAAGTACATACCAAAATAGTTATGGACTTAGACACTAATCCAACAATAACAACACCATTACAAGGCTCTAACGCATTATGATCAATGTAGGGCACATCATGATAATCATGAGCACATCTGGCATGGCATAGGGGGCGCATCACGATGAGCCATGAGTGCATTTGACATAAAGGGGCACACAATGGAGTGCATCTTGATACCTCCAGCGCATCCTCTAATTTCCTGAACAATTTGTGGACTTAAAATTATCTCGCTAGAAGCGCCTTTTATTCCTAAGAGCATCTTTGCTCACTAAGAACATATTTTCTCAAGTCTTTACACCCCAACAATAAATGCAAAATAAAAAAATAAGATTACGATATTTAACATGGTTCATACAATCAAAATGATAAGCTACATCTACGGACGAACACGAGAGATTTTTTTATTTATTTATATGTTGAATTGGCTTTAGTTCATTAGGTTACACGAATTCAAAAAATATAAATTCTATTGAGTTGACCTAAAACTGCTAATAAGGCCAAACCCAAAAATCTCTAACAACTCTTACCCATGACGAAATATGAAGGCAAATTTAATATAAGAACTAGCCCACAAATGAGACTCATGAATCATAGTCCATAACTTAATACATACAGCCGAACAAAGTTTTATTTATTTACTAGGCGAATGCCCGCGCGTTGCGCATAAACACCTATTAGTTGAAATTTTTACAAATATATGTTTTTTTAAATATAACAATAAGGTTGTTGTTAAATTTGATATAATAATTCGTATACTAAATTGATATAATATATTGATTATTTTGAATTATATGATAATATATACATCTATTATAATTGTATAATCTCAATCATTTGAATGACTTCTACCCGCGAGTTACTCATGAATAAAATTAAATATAATATATGGCTTAATGTTATTTATAGTTTTTGTATTGTTAATTAATTTTTTAAAGTTTATTTTCTTAACGTTTTAATTTCTATCATTATAATTATTTAAAACATAAGACATTGTTTTTTGATTTTAAAGGTAACAATATAATCATTTATATAGAGTTGATTTTAACTATTGTTATTGTAAGTTATTTTAAGCTACTTATTTGAAAACTTTTAACGATTATACAAATATCTTTAGGAAATAATTTAGTTAAATTAATATTATAATTTAGTTTTTGCATTTAACACTACAATTTATCACTTTTAACTATTCACAAAATATTCATTAGGTTTTTTAAGTGGAACTGAAATTTATATTTAAGTTGATACTATAATGTTATATTTAAATTAACAGTTTAAGTATTTTGTCCTAACTGTTCCATAGTTGTAGCTTTAAATTGATAATGGTTTACATACAACAACATACTAAATCTAATAAATTAAGTATAATATTTTAAAAGTTAAAAACATAACTTTATAAGTAGAAGTAAAGATATTATTTTAATATTGAAATTTAGTTTATTTGTGATTACACTTTAGGTTTGATATTTATTTAACCTTATTAACCAAATTATAATCATTATTAGAAAGAATTTATCACTTTTAACTATTTACAAAATATTATTTGGATTGTTTAAGTTAAACTAAAATTTATATTTAAGTTTGTCATGTAATGTTATATTTAAGTTAATAATTTAAATATTTTATACAAATTGTTCAAAAGTTGTAGCTTTAAAATGATAATGGTTTACATCTAACAGTATTTTAAAACTAATAAATTAAGTATAATATGTAAAAAGTTAAAAAACATAACTTTATAAGTAAAAGTAAAGATATTCTTTTAATATTGAAATTTAGTTTATATATGATTACACTTTGGTTTGATATTTATTTAATCTTATTAACCAACTTATAATTATTATTATAAAGAAATTGAAAAGTCATGGGAGTTTCAAATGAATGTTGTGAAAGGAAAAATGTCTGCGCGTTGCGCAGAAACACCTATATAGTTGAAGTCTTTATATATATATATATATATATATATATATATATATATATATATATATATATATATATATATTTAATATAGCAATAACGTTGTTGTTAAATTTGATATAATAATTCGTATACTAAATTGATATAATGTATTGATTATTTTGAATTATATGATAATATATACATCTATTATAACTACATAATCTCAATCGTTTGAATAAATTCTACTCACGAGTTATACATGAATCAAATTAAATATAATATATAGTTTAATGTTATTTATAGTTGTTGTTATTGTTAGTTAATTTTTTTAAAAATTTGTTTACTTAATGTTTTAATTTTTATCATTATAATTATTTAAAACATCAAACATTGTTTTTTGATTTTAAAGGTAACAATATAATCATGTATATAGAATTATTTTTAACTATTGTTATTGTAAGTTATTTTAAGCTAATTATTTGAAAACTTTTAACGATTATAAAAATATCTTTAGGAAATATTTTAGTTAAATTGAGATTACAATTTAGTTTTTGCATTTATCACTTTTAACTATTTACAAAATATTATTTGGTTTTTTAAGTGGACTGAAATTTATATTTAAGTTGACATTGTAATGTTATATTTAAAATAACAATTTAAGTATTTTGCCAAAACTGTTCAAAAGTTGTAGGTTTAAACTGATAATGGTTTACATACAACAACATATTAAATCTAATAAATTAAGTATAATATATTAAAAGTTAATGACATAAATTTATAAGTTAGAAGTAAATATATTATTTTAAAATTGAAATTTAGTATATTTAAAATGATAATGGTTTACATCCAACAATATATTAAACCTAATAAATTAAGTATAATATGTTAAAAGTATATCACTTAATAAATAGAAGTAAATATATTATTTTAATATTAAAATTTAGTTTATATGTGATTACACTTTAAGTTTGATATTTATTTAACCTTATTAACCAACTTATAATTATAATTATTAGAAAGAAATTGAAAAGTCATGAGAGTTTCAAATGAATGTGGTGAAAAGAAAAATACATGAGAGTTTCAAATGAATGTGGTGAAAGGAAAAATGTCTTCATTTATAATATAGCATGATATGATATGATGATGATTTATTTTTTTCTTGCCGAACGATTTTTTTTTCAACTTTCTTGTTAAAAGCTAAAAGCTTTAAAAATAACTCGTTGCCGAACAAGCCCGATATAAAACGATTTATCCACAAAACTTTTATTATTTCTATCAACTTATAAGTTTAAATTGCTTTTATATATTTATATAATGTGAAATGTATTTAATATTTTTATGCGTTTTACATAAAAGAAATTAAAAATGAACAAAATCATATATTTCTAATTAATATGGGTATATATATATCTTCCTATATTATTATACAAACCTTACTATTTCTAAAAATAGATTTAAGACGTCCAAACCATTAAACGGTAAGTACAAATACTTAACACGCAAACCTTATCTTTTGATTCTTATCTTTCCATAATCAATTAATTATCCCCTTTTATCTTGTTATTTTGACCTGGTTCCTTCCCTTATCTTGGTAGTTACCACTTATCCGTATTCTCTTTTCCTATAAACCGGAAGACTCATTCCCCCTCATCTCATTTATCTTCATCGGTCTCTCAAGAAATCTCAGCACATCATGTTTAAAAAACTTAGGTCGTTGGTCTCCTACTACATCGCTGGTGACTCCTTGCTCCGCACATCGGTTTTCCTTGCTCTGCTCAACCACCACCACTATTCACCACCCACAAATGTTCTCTTCTATCCTTTCTCCCCCACGATGAACACTACTGTCTTTCCCTTACAACATCGTCGACCATCATCTTCTCTATTATCTCATGCATGTACAAAACCCTCAAACCGATGGTTTACCAGGTGTGCACATCTTCAATGCTCTACTGATAGAGTGCCTGGTTCGACCTTCCTCTCTCTATTCATAAGGAAAACCCTAGCTTTTTATGTGTGTTTACAAGTCTGAAATTAGAGGAAACAAAAAGACGAACTCAGATGAAAATCGGGTAGCTGGAGGTTAGTTTTTCACACTGGTCTTTTCTTTTTCTACATTATTCTTGAGTTTACATGTTTGTTTTGTATTTATCATCTGTCTGCAGGTACCTCACAATTTTAAGCCATCGATTGTCAATATTTTGAGTAAATAAAAATAGTTTACAGTGCTTTAAGGTAATATGTACCAAAACCTTCTGTTGTCACAAATCTATGAGAAAATGATTATCCGGTTTTTGTTGTAGATTTGTTCCACTTGTTGTTTGGTTTCTTGGAAGCTAAGAGTTTAAGATCCCCGATATAAGTTTCTGTCGACCTGAGGCTGAAATAGGTTAGTTTTCTACTTAAATAGTTGTTGATTCATCCCACCATATGCTTATTGTTTCTACTCCCAAATTATTCTTGGACTTGATTTGTTTTTTCTAATTGAAATGTTGTTTGTTTGAAAGATTTTTACTTTTAGGGGTTTGAATGCTGATGCAAGTTATAAAAAGATTGCAAGCTTCTGATTTTGAACATGAATGTTTATCAAAAATGATTAATCTCTTTGAAGAATAATCCTCCATTTTACAAAGGTTCTTTTCCATACAAGTGTGTCTATCATCCCCTTTTCTCTCTATATCAACGATTTCATTCTTTTTCCCTTTCATGTATCTTTCCCCTCTCTCAAAAACCCCACCATTGCCGCCTTTTACCACAAATTTACATGCTTTTGTTAAGCTGATATGGCTGTGCTCACATATTTGATGGAACCTCCGAAGGCTAATCTACATAATGAGGTTGTTGGGGTTCTTAGTGTTTCTTTTATATGTCTGAGCCACTTTGCTTGATCTGGTAATTTCACATGTCATTTTTTTAATGATTGTGTTTTTATATATTACTTCTTATCATTGGAAAATGTTGTATTTTGTGTGTATGATGAAATTACTTGCAAATCCAAGGTGTAAATTAATGATGTATATTTTTGGGTATTTTGTGTGTATATGTGGGTATTATGATGTAGTTTTAGGTGTTTTTAGGTGTTGTCATGTGTGTATTTATGTGTATTTGATTTATTGCTTGTATTTGTATATATATCTCTTTGTAATTGTTTATTTTTAAGAGTGTATCTATCTATATGTATATTTGTGTGTATTTTGTCCGATTTTTTATGGCATGTTCTATGTGTTCTTTGTCTTTAAACAATAATAATACTTTAAACATACAAGTTTGATTTTATGGAATGGTTGGTGTATGATGTTTTCATTTGCAGGTTTTGGTCATTATGCTAACAAGTAATTTGATGTCATTTTCTTTGAAATTTACAGTTAATAATGATGAATTTGGGTGGATTGGACTTTGGTTGGACTTTCCCGGTAAATAGGGAAGCCACTAAGATGGGTAAGCTGGTAGGACAGGAAATGCATTGGTGTCCTCTATTTGACAGAATCACCTTTGTTAGATCACCTGATGTAGTAAGGAAAAAGGTATTATTTTTCATCTTATGACTTCAAGTAGTAGCTACAAATTGTTAGTTTAGAATTGTGTCTAATTGAAGATATGTAATGGATTTTGCTGTGTATTCAAAAGTAAATGACCATTTTGCTCTTCAATTCAAAAGTGATTATGAATATCCAATGATTGTTTATTTGAGAATCATTATAAATCGAAATCATAACTGATTATTTGAAGTTAAAAATTGGGGGTTCTAACTATTGGACTTATATAGAAAAGCAAATGACCATTTGACATTGGACAATATGTGTTATTAAAGTTAATTATTTGTCCATCAAGCATCACATAGTTAGGCACATTGAAGTTTTGGATTTGGTACTTGCTAAAAACAAGATCGATGATGTTGGCATGGATTTTTGATAATTGTTAGACAATAGAAGCATCGGGACTTGCTATCTGCTGTTGAATGAGGTAAGGTAATTTAGAAATTTGTAGGTATTCAACAGTTGATATGATTTGATGCTTCATTTCTAAATTTCTTAAATTATTCTAGGGGATTATGAAGAGTTTAGGTTTTTTGTTTTACTCTTAGATCTGAAAAAGATGTGATATTAAATGTTGTATATATTATGGATAAAAGAGATCGAATGATGTTCAGTTTGAAGTTGATGTGCTGTGAAATTAGAAGACTTATGAAGGATTTGAAGGATGTTGAAGGGTTAAAGACTGGCTATGGTAAGGATTTAATGCGGCTTGAAGGATTTTGGAGTTGTGTTTGGAAATAGATATGTTGGATGTACACTACCACTTTGTTTGTGATGGCTAGGTGTTTTATTAAAATCATTTCATGTTCTTGGTCGGATAGCAAATATATATAATGCGTAGGTTGTTCAAATCATTTATTTATTAAATAAATTGCACTATGTACAATATGAGATGGATTCCACCAAAATAGGCTGCAACACTTTGTGGAAAAATGGTGAAACTCATTTACATGGGTAAATTAATGTCGTAGTACATTGATTTTTTATATATTTGTGAAAATAGATAGATTTAACAAAAATAAAAGCAAATAATGGTCAATTGGTCATTATTCATGACGTTGTATCACATGGGAAGGTCAATTATTCGAGGCAACGATCTTAATCTCCAATCGTATCAAGAGCATCTAATTATTTATGACTTAAATTTTTGTCTATTGTTAAGAATTTTAAGTTTTTAAGGACAAACATATAAAAATGTGGTTTAGATACTGTTCGATAATCTTTACTATCCACTTGATCTTAACAAACAAAACAAAATGAGATTTTCAATTTCCGAAAAAAAAACATGGGGATTGCACACACACCAAACAAATTGTTGGCTGAAAACCTATTCTTTAACCCAAAAACCAATGTACACTTGATTTTAATTCGAAATAGGCTGCCAAAAGAAAACTAATTGCCACTCAAAAACTATTTTCCAGAAGAATCTATATTGCACAAAATAATCCACCAAAAGGCTGAAAAGAACTATATATTATAAAATGAAAACTAATCGCCATATGAAAACTTGTGGCTAAAAGGAACTATCTGGCGCCTCCGCGTTGCTTTGTTTTTCATGTAGAAGAGAAAATTTCCACAAGAAATGATAGTGTCGATGTGATTAATGATTTATTGATCGGCCGATTCCATGGAGAAGAGAAAATTTACTACAGTTTTGATGAAGCTGAAGACGATATAAATAACTTATATCCTGTGGAATTCTTGAACACACTCAGTGTTAGTGGTTTACACCCTCATTACCTACGACTGAAAGTTGGATGCCCGATAATACTGTTACGAAATCTCGACCCATCAAATGGATTGTGTAACGACACCCGATTGATATGTAAATGTTTTCAACACAATGTAATAGATGCTGAAATAGCTGTTGGTCAACATGCTGGAAAGAGAGTTTTTTTGCCAAGGATTCCTCTATGTCCGTCTGAAGATGACATGTTCCCGTTCAAGCTAAAGAGAAAACAATTTCCAATCCGATTATGTTTCGCAATGACAATCAATAAGGCACAGGGACAAACAATTCCAAATGTAGGAATTTATCTTCCAGAATCGGTTTTCTCGCACGGACAGCTTTATGTGACATTATCCAGAGGGGTATCACGTGAGAATACAAAAGTATTAGTGATCCCTGATGAACAATTCAACGGTAGTCCAGTCTGTACTGTAAATGTGGTGTATAAAGAAGTGTTGCATGATCAATAATGCACAGTCAATCATGTGTTCATTTGCATTTGTAAAGAATCCAAACTTTTCATTCTTAATTTTTATTGATTTTGTATTAGTTAGCATAACTCTTAATAACGATATTTCAATTGGTTATTTTATGTTATTTTTACCGTGTTGTGTCATGTTTGTCATATTTTAATTGGTTCGTTTCGTGTCAATGTAAAAAAACAAGTTATCGTGTCATGTCGTGTCTGACTAAAACACGACATGACACCCCAATTTGATAGCACTAATTGAGGAAAACGATTCTCATGAAGAAAACAATTTACCCAATAAGACAATCAACTTTACTTTTTTAATCAGGAAAAGTAGTTTTAACCCAAAATAGCAACATACATATAACTTTAAATCAAAACAAAAACATACTTATATTTGAAGTCCGCCTCTAGAAACTAATTTTCATAAAAACTATTCACACCCGTCGCTTTGCGCGGGTAAACGGCTAGTATATATATATATATATAGATATATATATATATATATATAATATATATATATATATATATATATATATATATATAGAGAGAGAGAGAGAGAGAGAGAGATTATAACAAATGCATCAGATTATAACAAAATTCACTTCCTTTTTTTAGTTTAATTTTTTTAGGCCATGTTTTTTATCGAAAAAAAATGAACATACCGTTGTTCATGATTTCCGTCATCTTTCCTTTGAGATCCATATTGATATATAAAAAATGAACTTTTTTTTTTCTTCAAAAAAACTCACTTCATTTTCTTTGTTTTTTGAAAAGTAAAGGTCTATTTTTTATCGAAAAAATTTAATAAATATATCAAAGCTCGTATTTTTTGGTACTCTTTAAACATAGATTCATATTGATATTTAAAAAATTCAAAATTTCAGTTCAGATTCATATCGTGAATCTGCTTAAATTCTCAGTATGAATAATAGTAGGTCAGATTCACATCGTGAATTCTGAAACTAAATTATATATACAGTTGAGATTCATAATATAAGTAAATCCATTTGTTGATTTTACAAAACTAATTTACGAGTAATCAAAATGTTAAAATATTATAATACTACATGAAAATATATTTCGATTCACATGTAAAATTTTCAATTAATTTGTTAATGATCAAATAGTTGAAATAGCAAGTCAGATTCACACTGTGAATGTCAAAATTGAAATATTTACAGTTTAGATTCACAATATGAATCTGAACTGATCCGTGTTTTTTTTACTCGATGTTAACGTTTATTAATAGAGGACAAAAAATTGAGATTTTTGGTATACTTAGTTTTTTTTTTTTTTTTGATAAAATTAAACTTAAATATTGAAAAAAAACAACAAAACGAAGTGAATTTTTTTTTCGATTTTTTTTATATATCAACATAGATCTCTATGGAAAGATGTCAAAGAATCGTGAACAATGGTATATTCGTTTTTTTCGATAAAAATCGTGGCTTAAAAAAAACTAAACGAAAAAAAGAGGTGAGTTTTTTGGTAAAGATGTGGGTTTTATGGTATATGTGCATCCAATGTACAAGTGTACATTCATTCTCTTGGTCGTTGATCATTATGATTTCCGACGCTCACGGTTGGTTTCTTGTTAATAAAGGTTTTCTATTGAACCTCACCATATATATATATATATATATATATATATATATATATATATATATATATATATATATATACATAATTGAGGCGACTTGGCGGGCGGTGGCTCGCCTCTTCAAAACCAACGACTGAAAGAGTGTTCAAACCCAATGACTGAAAGAGAAACAACGTCATGTTTGATGCATGCATATATATAGGAATGACAAAGGGACGGGTTCGGGGCGGGGCATAGTTTCCCAAACCCGCCCCCGATATCTTTCAGGTATCTTATCGGGGCGCTCCATCGGGTTTCAGGTTTTCCCGTTGGGTTTCAGGTCTTATTGGGTTTACAACAATTCATAACAAAATCTTTATTCCGTTTTAGGATACTCCGATGTCTTATAAAAAAATACGTGTTCTGGCCTCCCTTTTAAATTAAAAATATGATGCATCACTTTAATAAAATAAACTGGACGTTATATTAAAAATTATTTGATTTAAGTTTAGTATAATATGTCAAAACATAAAAAAATATCATTCATACCAGATTGTTAATAACTAAAAAGATTGTTCAGAGTAAATATTTTATCTTTGAATGCGAGCAATTAACATGAAAATGATTAGAATATTATATATATATATATATATATATAATCGGGGCGGGGCGGGTCAGGGCGAGGATAACCCACTCCCTGCCCCGAACCCGATAAAAAATCCGATAACGACCCGTTACCCGACCCGAAATGATCGGGTTTCGGGTTTCTCCGTCGAGTTGAGGCTTTTTTGTCATCCCTACATATATATAATTGAATTTATAAGTAATGATTTGAATTTTGTACGTTACTATTTGTATTTGTTTTTAATTTGGTAAAACAACGTTTAGAGTAATTTTTTTTATCTAAAAGACGAGATCTTTCACATTTGTATTTTTGTAAGCTTTTACACATCAAATCTATAAAATTATGGGTCAAATTAGGATGACGTGTATATATAAATCATATCTCAAATGTGGTAATACATTAAAATTTACCTGTTGGAATTTTTATTGCTCAAAGGGAAATCTCCAGAAAAGTCCTAAAATTTTATCCTAATTTATCCTAATTTACGAAAAAGTCGCAAACTAAATTTTGTTTACGAAAAAACATGAATTACTGGTAAAAATGGCGATTTGACCCATTTTTTCCGGTTTACCGGTTTTATTACTTACATGTTTCACTAAAGTCTCATTATTTTACCATAATTTGCGAATAAGTCTCAAACTAAAATTTACTGATGATTTGGCCATTTGCTCTATGTAACGTACATTTTACCGATTTCATTGCTGACCCGGACGCCTAGTCATTAAATAAGATAATGAGATGAATATGTTGAGTTATATAATGCTATGTTTAGCATAAAACTTGATATCCTGATGTATTGTATATGTTTTTGGAACATAAAATGCATCCAACGAAGACTACAATAATTACATAAACTAACAAGAATTGCGTTTATTTTTTACGTTTACAAGAAATATCAAATTGTCTATCTAATCTTATGTAACCCAATATATCCATCTCATCATACATCAACTCATTTTCTGTCATTTTTTCTTGGAAACACATATTTTATTGGTTTCATTGCTGACGTAGATACATAGTAAATGAGCCGATGAGATGGATATCAAATTTTACAGTAAATGTAACATTATATAACCCATCGTATTCATTTTATCAACTAATTTAATGACTAGGTGTCTAAGTCAGCAATGAAACCGATAAAATGTATGTTACAAGAAGAAAATGGTCAAATCATCAGTAAATTTTATTTTGGGACTTATTTGCAAATTAGGGTAAAATAATGGGACTTTAGTGAAACATGTAAGTAATAAACCGGTAAACCGGAAAAAAATGGGTCAAATTGCCATTTTTACCGGTAATTCATGCTTTTTCGTAAACAAATTTTAGTTTGGGACTTTTTCGTAAATTAGGGTAAAATTTTAGGACTTTTCTGGAGATTTCCCTTACTTAAAACCCAATCTTATTTTGTAAAAAATGACTTTAGTTTTTGGGTTAATGTCATAAAAACCCTCAAGTTTTTAGGGTTTTGTCGGTTTTGCCCAAACTTGAATTTTATGTCCGTAAAACCGAACATTTTTTGGAAAATGTTAGGGTAAAAACGGACATAAAATTCAACTTTTGGCAAAACCGACAAAACCCTTAAAACTTGAGGGTTTTTATGACATTAGCCCTTAGTTTTTTAATAACTCTAATTTCAAACATTAATAAATTTATATCTAACAAAATGCTATACAAATACAATCGACACCACACAAAATTTAAAATATCCAAATTTCATGCTAAATTGATCTAAATCGTAGCATAAATAATAAAAAACAATATCATCAATCTTGTTCTTCTGTTCCATTAACCTCACACATGTTAGGCCTACCATTATATTTCAATCCATAAGCTATCCGGTATACTAACCATGTCATAGGCTGCTGCTGAGATGACTATATTTCACGACATGCACACCACTAAATGGGTGTGGTGCGAGGTGGAGTGTCGTGTGTGTAGAGAGGCATGGCCCCGATATCACACTCATTTCTTCATGTTTTTCTTCTCTTCTTCATGATGTTGCGTACATAACATTAGCCCCTCTGCTTCATGGTGTGGATATGCTAATGTGTCAACCTTCACGTCTTAAATACCACACATGTAAACCAGATAATCTTGTGTAAACAACCAGTAAACATTTTCTTATATCCTTTTGCCCACCAGATACAGTGTCAATCACATCATTTCCTAATCCAAAGCCCAAACAACCCATAACATTCATTCTCTTAAGTCCCAACTCGATTGCAGATAACCATTAATCATTTTTATTTAACATTGACTCAAACTTTCAACACAGCCCAAAACCTAATCTAAGTAATTTTAATCTTTAATCCAAATATTTTTTCTAAACTTCCTTTCTCAATAACATTCAAAATTTGATCTTTATTTTTTTCCCTTCAAAATTTCCTTAAGCTAATTTTCTATATGTTTGTTTTCCTCTTTGTAAACCTAATACTTTTTGTTGGTATTAAAAGTTGTCAAGATTGAAATTATGATCAATTTTACTTTTCAAGATCGTGATCGAATTATTCTACCATAATGAACTAGTTTCATTGGTACGAGTTGTAACTTATATCAAAGAATAAAATTCATAAGGTTTGAAGTTAAACTGGTATGCTTAGTTTGATGTAATGAAATGACAAAAACATAAAATCCATAGATCCATAAAATGTCTTAGATAGTTGAATGAATTATTACGATTCTATTATAACATCATGTCGCTACTCGTTTTCTGCAATGAATGAAATAGAATCATTTGATAATGACAAAAAAAGACTAGAGTTTGGAGGGGATCCAATTTCAAGATCAAGTTCATTTGTTAATTTATTTTATTTAATTATCAATCTACTTTTTTTATATTAAAAATGTATCGTTTTTATAAAAATCTTTTCATATTAACTAGTTTAACAACTCAAACTCATCAATTAATCACTCATTAATTAATTAAAAAATTTATATTAAAGTAACTATTTAATTTAATTTAATTAATAAACTCTTATATTTTTTCATATCATTTCAATGTTTTTTGTATTTAATCACATCTAAAATTTTATTTTTTTTACCTACTTTCTCATTTGAAAGTCCTCCCTAATAAATAAAGAATTTTTTGCCACTTGTCAATTTCTTATGTATTTGGACACATGTAATTTTGTGGTTAATTCTTAGAAATTAATTTTCACTTGTCATTTTGTGGTAATTTTTTATTTTCTTAATTAACTATCTAATTTTTAGGTTATAGAAAATAATTAATGTGTCACTAATTTGTTTCCTTATATTTTCAAAATTTAATATGTTTCCTTCAATATATATATAATTCAAAATTGACATGTTTCTTTTAATGTTCATTGTCATTTTAGGCAAAATGGTCTATATAAAAAAATGATCAAACTTTATTGCTTTTTATTGACAAACTAAAAAAAATATTATATGGTCAAAATATAATTATTTTTCTGTAGTTTGTTTTATTAATATAAATTGAATTATTTATTTATTCATCATTTTGTTTGTATACATATTTTAAAATTTTATTTTAAAAAATACTTAATGTTTACACTTTGATATTTAATGTTTTCTTTAAAAAATATATTTAAAGTTTATATCTTTATATATAATTTTTTTTAATCAACCCGTATAGTAAACATGTTTCACATCTAGTTATGTAATAAACACAGTTTTCTACACATTCTCATCCATTTCAAAATTGGAGATGCAATGATTTGGATTATTTTTCCAAGAGATTTTCCAATCAAATATGAAATATGGTTATGAGTCATTTCATGATTGAAGATGGCGGTGACTCATTTTGGTGCTTTGATTTTGTTTTGTTTTTCTTTCTTTTTGGGAATATTGGTAGCTGAGCGTAAAGGAGAAAACAAACAAATGTCAATAGAGGGACAAAAAACGTTACAAAACATATTTTAAAGGAGAAAAAATGCTAATGTTCCAGTTAAGGACCGAATCTGTAATTCATATAACCACAAGGACTAAGTCTGTTGTTTACCCTAAAAAGAATTAAACTCGTTGAGCTGACACAGTTAACTCGTCCATTGTCATTTCCCCCCATTTTATCCATCACCATCTTCCAATTCTCTTTGATTTACATTTTCCCTAATTTCCACTCCTTTTACCGGCGCTAATCATCTGCGAATTTCCATTTTCCTTCAGGGAATTAGGGTTTCTGATTGATACTAACGTTCAATTTGTCATAGGATAACTATACAACTTCCATGAATTCGACGTTTAAATTTCTTTTCGTGAAGTAAATGCTAAATTTTCTCATGCGAATTTTACATTCGGAAACGAAAGCCTATTGGGTTTGATCAAGGATTGCGGTAGTGCAACCAGAATATCGTGTTTGAGGTGTATGATCGAATCACCCAGCTGCAACTGTGTTGCGACATTGTCGAATCCATCGATTCGACGAGAACAACAAATGCGATCTGGACGTTTAAATTTGGGAGGGTTAGGGTTTCGGATTTGGTGCAAATATTGAATGGGAAATAATTGCGTGGGGCAGCAGCGTACTGGCTTCTTATCATCTGTTACAGCAGCGGTCTGGAAAAACCGACCGCCGGAGAACACTCTTCCCCCTCCCAATGCCAACGATTCGTCCACCCAGAACAAGAACAACACGAACAATAACAATGCCAACGATAAGAAACCAGATGATCCGAGTCATAAGGAATCTGAAAAACCACGTGATGTGCAAAGTACCCCTCCAGCTACTGTTAAAATATCAGAACAGGATGCGGCTAAATCGGCTGAAAAAGCCAAGGTAACGGAGGAGAAGGCGAAGCCGAAGCAGCCAGCAAGTAATTTCAAACGGGTGCAGAGTATGGGACTTAAAGATTCGGTATTGCAAAGGAGAACAGGCAACATGAAGGAGATTTACAGTATGGGTAAGAAACTAGGGCAAGGTCAATTTGGAACAACATTTTTATGTACAGAGAAGGAAACGGGAAAGGAATTTGCTTGTAAATCTATAGCCAAGAGGAAGCTGACAACAAAAGAAGATGTAGAGGATGTTAGGAGGGAAATACAGATCATGCATCACTTGGCAGGGCATCCTAATGTAATATCCATTGTTGGTGCTTATGAGGATGCTGTTGCTGTTCATGTTGTCATGGAGCTTTGTGCAGGTGGTGAGCTATTTGACAGAATTATACAAAGAGGGCATTACACAGAGAAGAAGGCTGCTGAGCTTGCTAGGATCATAGTTGGGGTTGTGGAATCATGCCACTCTTTAGGGGTTATGCATAGAGACTTGAAACCTGAAAATTTTCTATTTCAAAACGAGCAAGAAGAAGCACCCCTTAAAACAATTGACTTTGGGCTTTCTATGTTCTTTAAACCAGGTATTATATTAACACCTTAAGTGTTCATGTTTGATTTCAAGAAACATGTGGAATGATTGATATGACAAAATTCATTCAGGTGAGATGTTTACTGACATGGTTGGGAGCCCTTATTACGTGGCCCCAGAGGTGTTGAGGAAGTTTTATAGTCAAGAATGTGATATTTGGAGTGCTGGTGTGATTATATATATTTTACTAAGTGGGGTCCCACCATTCTGGGATGGTGAGAACTTTCAGTTTTTTCTGCTTTCTTGTCTTTATGGCACTCTATGATGATGATGATGATGATACAGTTTTAAAGTTGCATTTACTTTTGTTGTTAAATTGTGATATGAATCAGAAACGGAACAAGGAATATTTGAGCAGGTGTTGAAAGGTGATCTTGACTTTGCATCAGAACCATGGCCAAGCATTTCTGAAAGTGCAAAAGATTTGGTAAGAAGAATGCTTGTTAGAGATCCTAAAAGGAGGCTCACAGCACCTGAAGTACTTCGTGAGTATAATAAATCATTTTATATTTTCTTTTGGTCTTAAAATCTGTATGAAATGAAATGTGAATCTGTTACTATTATTAAAAGTATAACTATAACTATGACTCCCAAATCTACTATCATATTTTGTTGTAGGGCATCCTTGGGTTCAAGCTAATGGTGTGGCTCCAGATAAGCCTCTTGATTCTGCTGTTATTTCTCGTTTAAAGCAATTCTCAGCCATGAATAAAATCAAGAAGATAGCTATTAGAGTAAGTTTTTGTTTTCAATAATAAAGTTTATGTCAAGATTTAGATATATTTTACTACAATGGAAACCCACGAATCCTGTTTTGCTTTCAGGTAATTGCTGAGAATCTATCTGAAGAGGAAATTGCTGGACTTAAAGAAATGTTCAAAATGATAGATACAGATGGCAGTGGCCAAATCACAATGGAGGAACTTAGAAAAGGCTTGGAAAAAGTCGGTGCAGATTTAAAAGATTCAGAAATTGTTCACCTCATGGAAGCTGTACGTACCATTTTTATTTATTTATTTAAATCATATATCGATATATCTTTAATCACACATGACATAAAAATATGAAATTCAGGCGGATATTGACAACAGTGGTACAATAGACTATGGTGAATTTGTTGCAGCAATGCTCCACATAAATAAAGTCCACAAAGAAGACCATATGTATGCTGCCTTCTCTTACTTTGACAAAGATGGAAGTGGATATATCACTGCAGATGAACTCCATGAAGCATGTGAAAAATTCGGTTTGGGTGATATACATCTTGATGAAGTTATGCGTGACATTGATAAAGATAATGTAATAATCTTTCCCTTCCCTATTTTATACTATATGATTTAGGGGTTGTTTGATATGCCTCTTACTGGGTATGACTCGGTCAGATTCAGATTGTTTGATACCAGTAAGATTCAGGGTTGAGTCTTACTCGGTCTGATACTGACTCAGTCAGATCTGACTCAATTTCTTTAATGTTCATAATAGGATGGGCGGATAGATTACAGTGAATTTGTCGCGATGATGAAAGAGGGTGAGTTTGGGAAGCACGTGAAAAGCATTCGGTTAAGGTAGATAAGAAGAAGAAGAAGAAAAAGAAGAATGAAGGTTTTATTTCTAATTTCTAATTTTTAATTTTAATTTTTATTTATATATAATTTGAAACAATTAGTGAGTTGAGTCATGGTTTCTTGTGTAGATAGATGTCTATTTTTCAAGGTGATGTAGATAATCACATTTGGTTTTGTTTCACTTTATGAATCAAAAAAAGTCTTTTTTTTGTTTGTTGAATGTTGAGGATTGATTAATCTGAGAGTGTGAATATCACTTTTTTTTTTCTAATACGTGTTTTGCCGTATTATAATAATCACTCATACGTATCGTAACAGGTGGATCATACACTTGTGTGAGGTGTATATGATATGTGATTATGTGTGCATTCTTTTGGTCACATGAAAAGTGTTGAATTGCTTCACATTATATACATGCCAATGCCATCTTTCTCCAAAAGGATTCAAGATATGAAGCAACCAAAAACAATAACTATATCAAAATATACCGGAATTTGTTTTTGAGGTTTTGACCTTGTAGATAAGTAAATAGTAATAACAGTTTTGATAAAGCCAAGTTTTAACATTCATGTATCATATCAGTTTAATGAATCTAAAACGTTGATGCATTTTACATAATATTAGAGAAAACTAATAAATAATGTTCATTGTAACTTAATAATTAAATATTATTCATTTTATTTTTATTTAATACATTCCATGCATAAAATTTCTAGGAATTTTGATTAACCCAATTGTGAAAACGATAGTCATAAACTTGGGCTCATGAGTCATGACTAACGATCTTAGTTATCACAATAGAATGGATGTCAATAACCTATTGGATTACCCTGGTGAAAATGATACATATTATGTGGTTTAGAGATTAGAAAAAATATGTGGTTACTATCTTTGAAAATAATGTTAATGGTGAAGTTAAGACTATATAGTACAATTTCCTGAATCATCATATTACGTAGTCAATGATTTTTAGTAACATGAATTTATCTGCAATTATTTTTTCTCATGGTAGATTTTAAAAATAAGAGCTTGCTAATTTATGTTTATATACTCCATTCAATTTATTAATTATGCTTTTTTTTTTTTTGCTTTATCTCTTTTTTTTTTTTACTTATATTTTTTTTCATTTTATATTTACACATTAGTAGATTTTTTTTCACATCGTTTGAGGCTTTCAACAATCAAATAAGGTATAATATTACACTATTTTATTTCGTTTCCATATATAGTTTGTCATAGAATATTATATTTGCCATAAAGATATAATTTATCTTTTTTTTTTATTACAATAAAACGTCATATATTTTTTAATAAGATTAATAGATTTATATTGTATAATAGAAATATAATTATTGTTACGTAAAGAATAGAAAAAGTTTATATGATTACATCAATATAAATAATTTGTTTAATAATAATTTTAATATAAAATATTAATATTTTCTTTTTGATACGGTAAGATGCATAAAATGTTAATATTGATTTATGTTAAATATAACAATAATAACTTTCAGTATATAATATAAATATGGAGGGATATAATTAGAGTTTAGGATGGAGGTTAATAGACTAATCATTATTTAATTTTCTTTTTATTAATATATGTTTTTATTAACATTACAATTTTGGGCTTCTAAAACTACAATCAATTTTTCATTAAACACATTAATTGACAAGTGAGTTTTAATATGTTTTTTTGTTTTAGTTTAGTTTTTTTTAAAAACAACCATTTCCTAAATACATGTTTACTTTTTAGTGTTTTTTTCTTTCTAAATTTTGGTATTTATAATCATTTATCTTGTATAAAACTTTAAAAATAAAATTTAGAAAATAATAAAGTTAGTAAAATTTAATTGAATTATATATATATATATATATATATATTATATATATATATATATATATCTATATATAGATATATATATATCTATATATATCTATTTCAAAAAACAGTTCGTCAAAACTTTTTTTTGAGCATTAATCCCTCTTAGACGCAACATTTGATGAATATTGATGTTTTTTTTTTTGAAAAATGATGTTTGGAGTTAAAAGTTCTCTAAGTTCTAGTAAATTTTTAAGTTCTATATATATATATATATATCTATAGATATATATATATATAGATATATATATAATATATATATATATATATATATATATATATATATATATATATATCTATATATATATATATAGATAGAGAGAGAGCGAGTTATAGAACCCACAAAACTTATAGAACCATATAATCAAACTTATAACCTTAGGATAACTTTATCAATAGATTAGATTAAAAATGTGTACAATAATACTATGCACCATTGTACATTGAATCACATACAAAGAAAGATATAATGTGGTTAATACGTGTATTTTTTATTTAATCAAACTTAAAAAACCTAAAATTAAAGAAATTAAGAAGAAATTAACACGGACTGCTTTAAAGTTAACCCTACACTTTATATTTCAACCATCCGCTTCTCATCCAAAACGTAGTTTGTGTGCCCGACGGATACCGTTTGTTCAAAGCAGAGGCACGAAAAATGGAGAATGACCATCGACTACCGCATGCTACCATCGATTAAGGAGAATGATTGTAATCAGTCTAGACTCTCGATCGATTGATAATTTCAAAAGGTAAGTTTTAATTTCATTGAATAGGTGTTGGGTTTTGGGTGGACATTGTTCGTTGCATGTGTTCTATCGATGGGTATAAAGTCAGTTTAATATAGTACTTAATCTAATGTTTATGGATATATTGATTTAGTTCGTGGTTCAACTCAAAATTTGGAAATTTTATGGATCAATATTTTGATGAATTTTTCTTTAGGTTGTTTCTATATCTTTTGCATCAATTAAATCAAGTTGCAAGGGGGCTAAGCACCACATGGGCATCACTTATATTCCTTACATTTTACGATATATGTGTTTGTCCATTGCCTCAAACGATTTGAATTAAAACCCACAAAAGAATATAATATCTACAGGTTGTTTTTATTTCTATTTTTTTTATATACATGTGTTGTTGTATGAAAGGAGAGATGATTATTTCTTATTTTGACCTAACTGAGGCATTATGTTAGAGATACCAAGATACCATGACTAGAAGCCATTTGTATATGCATTATTTTTTCTGAAACCATTCTAGATTGTTGCATTTATGTCGACCTTTTTTTTTAACAGACGAGGCTTGGTCAGAATTTTTCACTCTTACGCTGGATAATTTGAGAGCTTATGGCATACGCCGATTTTGTTCATTTGTCTAGTGTAACGCCCTATCCCTAATCGTTACCCATTAGGGTGTGGGTGATGTAATGTAGATGATTCGGGCGTTCAGATTTGGTTTTTGGAGCTAAGGGGTATTTTGGTAAAATGACAGTGGGCTTTTATGGAAATTGGATTTTTGTTCGGGAAATTTTATGGAAGTATGAGTTGATAAAAGTGTAGAGATTATCGTTACCTTTTCATGGATATAAGGATCGTCGAAATTGGATTTATAACGAAGAAGTTATGGCCTTCGGAGTATTTTAGGGTTTAAAAGGAAACCCTAGTACGCGGGGCATACATAGGGAGTACGCAGGGCGTACTAGTGCGAAGGGCAGTACGTTGGGTGTACATTGGTGTACGCTTAGCGTACCCAGGAGGATGGATCGCAAACCTCGGCCTCGTACGTTGGGCGTACGAGGGGTGCTGAAACCCTAATTTTTTTGAGTTAGTGTACCCTATTTAAGCATCTTAAGTCTTTAGGGATGGCCTCTTTACCAACCCCCAAACCTCCTAAAACCCTAAATCGACCCCTTAGCCTCTTAGTGGTGTTCTTAAGCTATTAAGAAGACCTTGGTGCCTATTTTTCCCTTTATGAAGGAAGTAGAGAAGCTTGAAGTTGCCTTGCTTAGTGAAAAGGCTTTGGATCCAGAATCATCATCTTCTGGGAAAGCTTTTTGAGGTATCAAGTTTGCATCTTGGCTTGTATATGTTTAGATCTCTTCATAGTTAGTTTGTTATGCTTTTGGTTCCTTTTTGGGTTAATGGAAGAGTTAAGTCGTTTAAGGGCTTGTTCTTTTAGATTTGAGTTTGTTTTGGTCTCCTTGAGCATAAATGTGCAAACTTTATGAGATTTTTGGTGTCATGTATGCATTAAGTTAAGTGTTAAGTCCCTTTTAAGCTTAAGAGCTTCATTTAGCCATGCATGAACGTAAAGTTGGCAACTTTACGTGATAATCCAGCTCAAGGAAGTCAGATCTATGTTTTGGAAGCTTTGTCTTAAGGGATTAAGTGTTGAATCAAGATTTGGGCTGAAGAGGGTGAGCACGTTGGGAGTACAAAAAGGTACGCTTAACGTACAAGCCTCCAAGCGAGTACGCTGCGCGTACGTGCTGAGTATGCCCCGCGTACTCGGTCTGTTGGGCCTCACATGTTTGGGCTTCGGGTTTGGGCCATCTTTTGGGGCTTGGTTACTTGAGGCATTATTGGGCCAACTGAGAACAAGTGTTTTGGACTAAGAAGAGTTATTGGGATTTAGGGTAAGGCCCATGTAATGGTTTGGACCCAATTTGGAAAATTGGGCCATAAGTGGGCTTTGGATGGTTATTTAGTTTGTGGGCCTTTTTGATTGTGAGTTTGGGCCTTAGTCTTGGACCAAGCTAGGTGAGGGGTAAAATGGTATTTTTACGCCATGTATGGATTGTTGGTTTTGGTTTGGGGCCCAAATGTTAATTGGGTGTTATTTAATATTGATAGCTCGGGGAATTGTCGGACCAGCAACAAAGGATTATCAATGTGATTCAGCAGTGTAAGGTGAGTCTCCTCACTATACTATGGGTCGAAGGCACCAATGTCGGCCCATTTGGTTTATGTATTATAGGAAGACCAGGGGGTGGCCCTTAGAATTTGTATGAAAGACCAGGAGATGGCTTATAGCAGATCTGTATGCAAGACCAGAGTTTGGACTCTGACAGTTAAGTAGATAAGTAGTTGTAGATTATGCTAATTCTCTTTGTGATGCTTGCATGGAAGACCAGGAGGTGGCTCCTGGCACTTATCTGTAAGACCCAGAGTTTTGGCCCCCGTCCTGGCAAGGAAAGACCATGATACGAGTAGTGGCATAATGGCAAGACT